GTAGGGAAATTAAGGTTCAAGATGTTAAATATAGCTGAGTCAATCGAAGTTGAGTTATTGCTCGAGGTTAGACCTAGGAGAGGTTGGTCATTCTTTTGGGCGTGCCAAGGAAAAATGGTCATTACCTTATGTATACTTGATTAATTGTCCACTCTCAATGTCTTGGAACTAACATGTTTGTCAGACACACGTTATTTTAGATTTGGCCAATTATCAAGTTTAAATACTTTGAGTTTAACATGTTTTTTAAATCTATATTATCTTGGACTTATAACTTGATTAACTGCCAAGTCCAAGTGCATAATAAAATTGGTTGACTGTTAAATCCAAATATCTTGGGTCTGACGTATTTATCAGACTAACATTACCTCATTCTCTTGAGCATACCATGTGAGGATTGTCATTCCCTTGGGATTTTCAAGGGAGAACGCCATTTCCATAGACGCTCTAGTGGCTTGACACACTGCTAAGCCTTTTAATGTATAGGTGTGGCTGGTGCCAAACCTAGCATGCTGGACCTTAACACATTGTCAAATCTAATCGTGGTTGGGTTTGACCAGTGCTAGACCCAGCATTTTCAGAGCTTGGCACATTGTCAATCCTTCATTTAAGGTGTGCTAATTTTCTTAGGTGTATCTAAAAATTTAAGGTCATTAAAAATAGGTTCATCATCATGTTTCCAAAGGAGACTAGTTTTGAAGCATAACTTAACACGTATTTAGTCGGGAATCAATTTTTTATAAGTTTTTTTACGAGTCAATCAATAACCTTCTCTTTGCTTATGCTTAGATTACGGAGGCCAACAAATTGATTCGAGTCATTAAGGATTATGAGAGTGCATCAACTCAAAGAATCAACCTAGATAAATTGAAGTTCTTTTTTAGTCAAAGTATGCAAACTTACCTTCAAAATCAGCTCCAACGGGAGATGGGTGTTAAATTAATTGAGAGACATGAGAAACATCTAGGCCTTCCCTGCATGTTGGGTAGATTAAAAAAAAAACTATTTTCAACTCAATTTAGGAAGGATTAACAAGAAATTTAATGGTTGGAAGAAAAAGTGTTAAACTGCAGTGGGTAAAGAAATCCTCGTCAAGTTGGTAATGCAATCCATTCCAACATGCACCACGAATTGTTTCCTCTTTCTAAGGCATTTTACAATGAGATTGATTCTTTAAAAAGAAAGTTTTGGTGGAGTAACTCTGGTGAGAGCTGTGGCATTCCATGCTTAGTTGGGGATAAGCTATGTATGGGCAAGAAAAAAGGTGAATTAGGATTTCGAAGCATTCCTTAGTTCAATGTTGCTGTGCTTGCCAAACAAGGATGAAAATTGGTGACTAAATTAGATATTCTTTCATATCGCAAGTTCTCTGAGCTAAATATTTCCCTACCACTAACTTCTAGCCTGCATCGTTAGGGTCCGAACTACACATGGTGAAGTATTTTGATAGCTATAAAACTTCTAAAAAGAAATTGAAGATGGGTATTAGTAATGGGAGTCTGCTTAACATTTGGATTAAGTTATTGGGTATATCTCGAGATTTGGTTAGTAACCTCATTAATGTGAAGAAATGTTGTTGGCTCACTAATACCCTATAAAACCAGTTTAATGAGTTTGTTGCTTTTCAGATCCTATCTATCCTTTTGAGTTCTCAATTTCCAGAGGATAAAATGGTTTGTCATTTGCTTAAGAATGTCGAGTATACTATTCATTTTGGGTATCACATGTTAGTGAGGCACCACTTAATCTTACCAGAACTTTGTCTTACCTCGTTTCAGGCTATGATTGTTTTTTTAATGCATTTTCAAAAACAAACAGACTCTCGAATGATCTGAGTTATGACAGCTTCTTATCCTTCTGAAAGTTAAGAATTTTTCTTGGCTTATCATTCATGACATTCTGCCTAACCCTTCGAGCCTACAAAGATAGTGTATGGGCGTGTTGAAGATTAATGTTGATGGAAAAATAGGAGTTAATGCTGGCGTTGGGTTAGGAATTGTCATTTGTGATAATCTGTACTAAGATATGCCTTTTGCTTCAATTTCCCACAATGCTATTTGAATCTTGAAGTTGATGATATTCATGCAGGATTAGTCCTAGCTAAGGACATAGGTTACCAAAAAATCATAGTGGAATCTGATAGTTTGAATGTGATTAATGCTTTTAGTTCATTAGTGAATGCTAGCACAACTTTTATATTTGGATTTTCCGTCACTTTTATGTATCATATTTGTCAAGAGAGATGGTAATGTTGTTGCTCATGCTCCAAAACTGATAGCCAATCCTTGTATTTTTCTTAGAATTTGTGTGGATGATGTCCCCGACTCTATTTCCATCGCTTATATGACTAGATTCTCCTTTAGTTTAATATTGTGTTATATTCCAAAAAAAGATAAATGTAGAATGCAAAATATAATTAGGGATAAGGATCGGTGTTCACATTTGGATTTTAGTATCACTTGTGCTCATCCTTGTGTTTGATAAAAATCCAAGTCTTTGGAGGAATCTTTTTTAAAAAGAATTTGTGAAAAACTAGTTTATTAGAATTCTTCTTTAATTAAATAGTTAGATTATTAGTTAAAAAAAATTGTTAGAGGTGTAATCTATATAAATATAAGAGTCAGTATTTGAAGAATTTAAGAGTGTGAATTAATCAATAAAACTTGGAAGGTATAATTCGAATAGTTATGTGTTTTATTTCCAATAATTAGTATTAGAGCTTGGATTTAGTGTTTTCAACAATTGGTTGTATGCTTATATGGAAATTATTTAACAATAGGGCAATGTTTAAAATTTTTTAATAGTATACGGTGATTGTGTTTGATGTTTTATATTGGAAATTTACATTATTTTCTTGATCTTGAAGTGGTTCAATTAAGAATATTTATTTTTAAATAAATTATTTTAAAAATTTTAAAGAACTTTCAAATGAAGAATTATATTTTAGTGAGTATACCAATTAAGTTTGGTTTGAAACTAAATAAAGATCATGAAAGGAAAAAAAATTTGATAACACACTTTATAAGGGAGTTTGATATATTTGATAATAATAAAAGTAGATATAATATATTCAATAAGTATTGTTAGTAGATATATGAAGGATTCAATAGAATTTTATTTTTTAACTTCTAAAAAAAATATTTTATTACTTGAAATATATTATAGTTACCGAAAAACCATATTTATGAAAATGTTTTTAAAGCATGGTTTAAAAGCTATTTTATAGTATTTAAAAAAATAATCAAGTATCACTTAATTTCCAACAAAAACTAAATTTATAGTTGCAACTTCATATTAATATTAAATAATATGATTAAAAAAAATTCTTGAAGAACTTAATTTCAAGAGACAAGACTCTAAGGTAATTTTTTGTAATAATAACTCAATAATTAAAGTCTCTAACAATTCATATCTATATGGTAAAAATAATCATATTTATTTAAAGTTATGCTTTTTAAGAGATCTCACATAGGACAAGAACATTGAGATTATTTATTGAAAAAATGAAGATTAAGTAGTTGATATATTCATAATTTTTTTAAAATTAGAATAATATGTGAAGCTAAGAAATTATTTGGTATATGCATTAAAAAAGATCTTGATTATAAATGTTCTTCATTGAATGTTAAAAATATCAATTTAAAAGAGAAATTGTTAGATAAAAATCTTAGATTAAGTAGGAATCTTTTATAAAAAAAAGATTTGTGTTTGGGTAATTTTTTAGAATTTTTATTTAATTAGATAATAAAATTCCAAATTAGATAATGATAGATAAAGATATAATTTTCTTATAAATATACATTAAGTACCATAAGCTAAATTTAAGAGAGTGAGAATTAATTAATAAAGCTTGGAGGCCGATTCAAATTATTCGATTTTTCTAGTTCTACCAATTTGAACTAAAAACTTTTAAATACCCAAGAAAATGAAAACCACACACTGATACAAGAACCGGACTTGGTACGAGAAAGAAGAAACGACGAGTCCCATCGTCGAAGAAGAAACATTTTTTTTCTGATCAAATCGCATCCACGGTTTGCCTGGTATGCACTGATCTTATTCGGCTACAAAAATTAATTTTTTTTTTTTTGCAATCTGAACTGTACTAGAGAGACACGCACATGTGTTTAGCTGATGGGTTTCTGTTATCTTAAGATTTTTTTTTATTGATACAGAGATTTTTGCAATGCAAGTTGACAGTTTTGAATTTTTTGAATTATGATGTTTAGCTGATCTGTCTGTGATAATCAATGACAAATAATGCTGCTTTCTCAATGTTTTTTTGTGTTTCGAGGGAGATTTTGGTGGTGATATGCACAATTTTGAGGATTTTTTTTTTTTTTTTTATGATTTGGGTGTAAGTTTTGGAAGATATTTGGTCAATGGGTTTGGTTTTTGATCATCAAGATCGTTGCTTTTATATTTGTTGAGATGATTTTGGAGAAATGGCAAAATGGGTTTTGTTTATTTCTTGGTTTGTGTAGGAGTTTTGGTTTTTGTTTGAGGATTTTGTTCTTTTTGAATTTTGCAAAGTGAACTGTAATAGAAAAATTTTGAGACATTTTTAGCTGATCACTATCTGTAATTCACAATTCAAGGAGATTTTTTTTCTTTTATATTTGTTTACTTTGTATAATTTTATTCAGTTGAATTGGGATGTGAGGTTTGGTTTCTGCTAATTAAAGATCATTGCTGTTATACTTGTTTTGTTGTTTTTGAGAGAATTTTGGAGGAATGGCCAAGCGGCTCATGGTTATATCTTGGTTTGTGAAGTGGGTTTGATTTCATTTGAAGATTTACGAAGGTCAAGGCTAATAAGAACTCTGGGGGAATTATTGATTTAAGGTTGACTCATGGGCGTAACTGTTGTGTCTGTTTCATTTGTGCATATATTACAGGGAATAAAAGGAATTAGATCATTCAATCATCGAGAAAGAGCATTGCAGGGTGGTTTTGCATCTGAGAAATGGATCCTGGTCGCTATGGCCTTCAGCAAGGATGGGATAATAACAGCGTAATTGTGGTTTCCTCCTTAAAAATACTGATAAAAATGCAAGAATTTTTTAGGATTGTCCATTAGTTTTTGGGCATCATCTATCTCATCCTTAAAAGAAAAATAAGAGAAAGCTGTTGGGGGCAGTGAGGATGTGGAATGGGTTTGCCTAATCTCCTGCTATCTTGGTTGGTATTTGTTGCTGACATAAGCCTATTCTCTTGAATCCACAGGCTCTGGAGGGGTATGGTGCTGTTCATGAGCCTAACTACCGGTAAGTACTGTCAGGGCATTCATGGTAAAACATTTTATTTGAAAATTTATGCAACATTTTCCTTTGAGTTTCATTGGTTATGATATTATTTCATGCAAGACCTTTCAAAAGCTTCTTATGCTTGATATTTTCTAATTGTCTCCTTTGTTGTGGTTGCTGTAATCTTATTGTCATTTATTTCTTTTTCAAGCTTTGGTTCATGATGTTATTTTCATGTCTATTCTTCCATTGAATTATTTTATTTTAGCAGGGTTGGTGGTTCATATAATAATAGGAGGTTTATCAATGACCGGTATTCAAGGGATAATGTCTACCCAAGAAATGCCTTCCACAGGGACATTCTAGAGAGGGAGAACTACCCCCCTCCTGCTGTTGATGTTTGGCCCCAATCAAGAAGGAGAAGTTATGAAGAAGAATACCCCATCGAGAAGGAGTCTAGGAGACATGAGAGACCGAACTTTGATTCTTATCATGATATGGATGCTGTTCATGATCGGGATGGCTACCATAGCATCAACAACTACCGTGATCATAAATTTGACAGGGCTTCTAGGTTTGGGGAACATGACCGTGATGATTATGCATATGATGATTATGACTACAAGTCACATACTTCCTATCAGAAACGGGGGGATAGCCGTGAGAGGGATTATGAATATGGTCGCCATAGTTATGATTCTGATTATGAAAGAGGCAGCAGGAGAGATGGCAATTGGAGGAGGGGTGAATCCCATGATCGAGAATGTGATAAGAGAGCTTTGAGTCAGGAAAAATCTCAGAGTCCACATAGATGGCATGAACGATCTCAGTCTCGGGGATATGATGATCGTCGTAGATCTAGGTCCCCTCGAAGTCGAAGTCATAGCCGAAGTCAACGGGAGGACAGCTATGATGATGGCAGACATGAGAGGAATGAAAGGAGGAGGGACCGTGAAGACAAGCGTCATCCTGGTCATTATGACATGGTATGTTTCGTACAGTCTTCATGATTATTGTTTTTTACTGCCTGGTTTCATCTGTGTTGAGTGACTGGGCTTTAACAAGAACTGTCTCCCATAGGCTCCATCTGCAACCGTTGTTGTGAAAGGTCTCTCACAGAAGACAACTGATGAAGATCTTTACCAGATACTTGTAATGCTTTACTTTGCATTCTTTATCTGAAACTGTTGATTTTCCTCATTAGATATTTTCCAAACATTTAATTGATTTTTTTTTTGTGGCCATCAGGCTGAGTGGGGGCCACTTCGACATGTTCGTGTGATCAAAGAGAGGAATTCTGGCATCTCACGTGGATTTGCCTTTATTGATTTTCCTTCTGTGGTATCTGTCCACCTAATCTGACAATGTTGCATTTGCTTTCATGAATGGCATTCAAGTATTGTTTTTGTTCTGAAACAGGGAGCAGCATGTGCAATGATGGATAGGATTGGGGATGATGGTCTTGTTGTTGATGACAGAAAGCTTTTCTTTGAGTACAGGTATTTCTCTTTCCTCACTACCATGATTGTGGTATCATTATAATCAATTGTGATTTTTTATTCCATGCTATTATCTGTGTTGTACATTGAGCTAGTATGTTTGGTCTCACATACTGGTGAAATCCGGATAAATTCTTACCTTGGCTGTCACTGGCTTCCTTAAAACTATTCTCCATCAATATCTAACTGATTGTAGCATTTTTTGATGAAAAGGCTATGCTAATGCCTTTGTACATATATATGGTGGCCCTGTGGTTTATTTTTGACTTCAAGCATAACCATTATCACTTTGGATTCTGTTTTCTTTCAGCAGTAAGCCGACTGGGGGGGCAGGTGGACCTTTTGGTCAAGATAAATCTGGTCAGCACAGAAAAATCACAGTGCCATCTGATTGGATGTGCACCATTTGTGGCTGTATCAATTTTGCAAGGCGTACATCCTGCTTTCAGGTTTGTTTTTCCACCTTTTTTCCATTTGATTTTCGATAAGTTGAGAGATTATAAAGTTCTATGAATACACAATCCACTGGCAATTAGTTTGATTTGTAAGCACTATTACAGCAAGAACAATGCCCCTCAGGTGCTGAGCATGCATGTGAAGTGTTGAAATGACAAACATTATTATTTCTTGTGCTGTTTTGGAGGTTAACATGTATGTTGGAAGTCACATTGGCAGCTTTGACATGCTGCTACCTTTTGGTTTGCCTTAGTTAAATAGTGTGGACTTGTAGTTCTTTTCTGTAGAGTTTTTGATCAATGATTTTTCAGCAAATGGAAAAGAAAAAAATTTACCCAGGTATACTAGTGGATTCTATAATGGTTTAAGAAATAAGATCCATGAGAACAGATCATTGAATGGCTGCTTTTATTCGATGTTGCAGTGCAATGAGCCACGAGCTGATGATGCACCACCAGCAGATATAGCTTTATCAAATCCACTGTCTGTAGGAAAGAAAGGATTTGAGGCAGGTTGGTTTGAGATGTTAACTTTTTCCTGACTAGTTTTAACATATATATATATATATATAGCTACACCTTGCTAATTTCAACTTTATCAGGTCCAACTCATGTTTTGGTAGTTCGTGGATTGGATGAAAATGCGGATGAGGAGATGCTTCGCTATGAATTTTCCAAACATGCTCCAATAAAGGTACAAAATGCAATAAAAATCAATTGCTTTTATTAGAGAATTTCTCCCTTTTCAGGAATCTTCAGATTTTTAATTGATCTTAATTTTCAGGATCTTCGACTGGTTAGAGATAAGTTTACTCATGTTTCAAGGGGATTTGCGTTTGTACATTTCCATTCGGTAAATCAATGTCATTGGTGATTGGATTTATTGACTATTTTATTCCTCTTATTTTGCTTTCCCGTTTTTCTTGGTCCGAGTAGTCTTTGATGGTTGTTGTGCAATTCAAATGATGAAGTACAAATTTGTTATAAACAATAAATAAGGACACATATATGTAAGCTTTATTAGGAGTTTTGTAAACTTATTAATAATGATTCAGAATTATCTTGTAACAAAACTATGGAGAAAAATTATACAGCAAACTGCGATTTGGTGGTGCTGTTTTTCTTTCCACCTTCCAGGCTAGGCTATCAAAATTAACCAAATTTAGTGGTACCATGAAGACTCTCAAAATTTGTATGTTGCTGATATCAACAGCTTAGCCACCTAATGAATTCCCATTTCAAGCACTTTATGCTCCTTCAAGCTTTTCTTTTTGAAAATTTAGGTGTTTGGCCTTTGGGCCCTGCAAGACCCCTGTCCTCCTTATGGAGGATTTTATTTGCTCTTTATAGAATTAGAGAAGCCATAGAAAAGAGTTGCATGAAGAAATAATAGATGCACTCTTTGTAATAATATGGTTCTTGCCTTGTAGGTTGAGGATGCTACTAAAGCCCTTGATGCGACCAATGCAACCACTCTTGAGAAGAATGGGCAGATCTTACGAGTGGCTTATGCAAAGAGCATTCTTGGCCCAGGGGCATCAGGACCGTCACAGTCAAGCAGCTTAGCAGCAGCTGCAATTGAGGCAGCGGCATTTTCCCAACAGGTATTTCATGGAACCTTTCCTTCAATTATTGCAACTTCTTTTTGGTTAAGAACTTTAATTGTTGACATACTTTCAGACTTCAGAATTTGAAGGAGCAGGGAATCTACTCTTTTTTTAGCAAGAAAATCTACACTGTCTGTAAACTACTTTGATATTCTGTTATTTGAAGTCACTGAAAGCTTTTTGTGAAGTGATTGTTGGTGGGAAAGTAGGAGAAAGCTGACATTGCTCTTGTGTTTTGTACCTTAGAAATGCAACAGATACCCCAAAGACAAGGGCCTCACTCTTCTTGGAGAAATGGTTTTGTAAAGTGAATGTTGATGAGCAGAACAGAGGAAAATGATATTCTGATATGATACATCCATTTCATACCTCAGATTAACCAGTTTAGGCATTTTTTTAAATCTTTGAGGCCATAGGCATTTCTTTTGATCGAAGAATAAATCTCATTTCTTTTGATCGAAGAATAAATCTCAGTCAGATTATCAACATGTAATTTGTCATGGCAATCAGGTGTTGACAAGGAATCCACTCCATGAACTTCAGATGAATGTGGTTGGGTCTTTGTCAAGGTCCTACTTCCACCTTAATGGATTTGTGCTCAAACCTTTGATGTTGATCTTTATGTGATTTCATTCATGCATTAGACAGAGCAGGTTTTGCTATGGCTCGTCGAATGGAGAAATACCACCTGAGGATTCTTTTCTTGTCCCTACCAATTCTATTTGATATTACTAACTATAACTTAATATTGTTATATTTTTAGTAGCATTACTACCACCCTTTATCTTAATTCCATGTGCTTCCTTTCTGGTTTATGAATATGCTGATTTTATACATGATCATTGAATTTTTAAAATTTTATCTTTTCATATTCTAGTATGATGCTGTTGGATGGGCACCCAAGGAATATAACCCAGATGACAATCAATCTGCTGGTGGGCAGGAGCAAGCCAGTGGGGAGATTACAGTTCAAAAGGATGGTTCTGCACCACAATCTGGTTTTGTGTGGGATGAAGCATCTGGTTATTACTATGATGCTGCTTCAGGCTTCTACTTTGATGGAAATACAGGTTCCTTCTAATTTCTTGTTTGGTTTGTATCAAGTGGAAGTGAAAGATAACATTTTGTACATGTTGTGGATCTGAGCTGTTGTTACAATGCATGTATTCAGTTGTAATTTGATCTAGGTCTCAATTACATGATGACGAGTTTGTAATTGTTGTCTTTATGTTAAAAGAATTCCTGGAAAGGCAATGCTGCTTTCATTTTTTTAGTATAATTGGATAGGTAGTTGGATCGTTTCACTCATTGCAAATGCTTTGTTACAGGTTCTCTCTGGTACAAGCTGACATATATTTCCTCTATGAAGTATTATAAATATGTATTTTCATTTTATTCCTACGAACGAGTTTTATCTGATGATACAGTTATATAGAGAAAGAGGTGGGAACAACATTCCTGTGTGGAACTTGGAAATCATGTTCATGGTTACCTGTCTTTCTGGGCATTTCAGCCTTTTTGGTAATTCAAAAGTAACAAGTTATAAGTTAGTCTCTGAGACTGTGAGAGAAAATGTACATGGTACTTCCTGCAGATCTTGCACCAGTGCTTACCATGAAGAATACTTTGGGAACAGATGGCTTGCTTTTCTGTTGTGTTATTATTGTTATAGTTAGTGGAGGCTTTTGACTTCTATTTTAATCTGGGAGCTGGAAGTCCGTTACCACTTCTAATAACTGCTTAATGATTATTTGTATGCTTTGTGAATAATGTATTAGGAAAATTATGCACGTGAGTTCTAGGAAAAAGAATAAGGTATTTAGTTCTCTGCATATGTGGTGCATGTGCTTGTAATTTACTCTGTTGCCTTCCTTGAATTGACTGGAGTTGCTTATCTGTAAGCCTGTGTTTACTCTCATGGCTCTCAATTGTGCAATCCATAACCTCATCACTTAAATTTCTCTTAGGAATCATTTTGATCCTCCGCTTTTATTTTTCTGAAGATTCAATTTTTGCTTGTTTCCTTGGAAAAGTTAGGGATTTGGCTCCTTATCAAGGAGAATTGTGATGAAAATAAAAACTTGGCTATTGTTGCTTGAGAAACCGTTCAAAAGGTTATGTAGGAAGAAATTATTTTGCTGTGGTGGGAGTGGTTGTCTTCTAGGAAATTTTTTATGGTTGTTGCTGTGAACTAACAACGTCCAATATGCACATGGACCAAGAACTTTTGAACTTAGAATAGTTGTAACTAGCATTCTACATGTGTCATCTTTAGAGCTTAATCTAAAATCATAATTCCTTTTCAAGTTGGTTGTTTGATTGCGTGATATGCTCCTGTTCTGTACAGGTCTTTATTATGATGGCAATCAAGGGGTTTGGTACTCTTATGACCAGCAAACTCAGCAGTACATCCCTTTCACAGATAACAATGACAATAAAGCATCTAGTAATCAGTCTGAGAATTCCAGGTCATCTGACAGTTCCAGTAACAGAAAAGTAGTAATTTCTGCTCCAGCTGCTACAATTACATCCACAGAGAAGGCTGCCTCATTACCTGATGCTGTCCAGGCTGCTGCTTCAGCAGCATTAGCTGCAGAGAAAAAAGAGAAGGAGAAAGCAAAAGAGATAAAACTTGCTTCAAAGAGCAGTATTTTGGCTAACAAGAAGAAAATGAACAATGTATTAACAATGTGGAAGCAAAGGAGTCATGAAGGACAGACTACCCGTGTGGCTCTTGATGATAGTCATCCATCTACTCCAGCTGATGACAGGTCGTTTTCAGTTGGGCAATCCACAAAGAGCAAGTTTAAATCTGATACAACCACCACAAAGAAGAGCTCTATGTCCAGTTCAGGAGTAGTCACAACTCCATCTGCCCAAACTAATGGTTTGGAGTCTTCAGTCAAGCCAAGACCTGTGAGCAACAGCTCAGGAGGGACTTTGATGGGGGTTATAAGGGGTTCTGGACTAGGTGTTGTGAAGTCTGATACTTCATATTCTGGACCATCTGCTGGTGTTTCTACATCCAATGCTGCTGTACCTCTAACCATGGCAGGTTCATCAACAAATGCAGATACATCTTCAGTTGCAGCTCCTTTTAGGACAGATGTATCTGCATTGGGCTCTTACACACCACCTGTGGCTGCTGGGAGTGGCAAGAGGAGATTTTCTGAAATGCCTCTACCTTCTGCTTCTACTCACAAGGAGCAACCAAAAAATTCCTACAGGGATCGTGCAGCTGAAAGGAGGAGCTTGTATGGTTCTTCTTCTGTTGGAGATGATTTGCCTGATGTGGATCCACGTAAGCTTTAACAATATGTTTTTCAGTATACCTTTATTCTATTTTTACAAGGTCATATCTTGCTAGGTAAATTGAACTTGGTGCCTTTTACATCTGCCTGTTAACCCCTGGATGTCTATCAGATCTTTGTTTTCCCAAACTCCTCAGTGATTCGAGTGAATTGGTTCCCATGTTTTACTTCATAGAAATATTAACTTGTGAGGAATCCTTTGTGTTTGCCATTCATGATCTCTTAAAGATCGGGATTCTGCATTCAAAAGGAGTACTTTGGATCCAATGCCTTTCCCCCCTGGTGTTGGAGGAGGACGTGTGATTGGAGATGCTCAAAGTTACGAGGTGATTACAGCAGACAAGGCACTTGGTGAGAGCAATGTAGGCAATCGAATGCTTCGAAATATGGGCTGGCAAGAAGGCTCGGTATCATTTCCTTCTCTTGCACTTGTAGTTTTAACTGTGCTAATTTGTGGTCCACTGTTCATAGCCATGCTGATTATCCTTTTGAAATGGTTTCGTGGCTAGTAAATCATCAGTTACTGCTGATAACCATGCTGATTATCCTTCTGAAATGGGTTTTAGTTAGTACAGCCCTTTCTTTTGTCTAAAAGATGCTCTAAAAAACTTTATATATCCTGAGAGTTTTGCTAATATATGAAATAATTGCTTAAATGGTATGATGTTCCTCTCATCTCTTTTCTGTTACATGCTTGTGCTAGAGTCCCATCGTATATACTGGTTATCTATGCTTTTGCATTAATCATGGTGCTAGATTCTAACTCGTATCCATTGTGGGGATTGTCTTCTCTGGTTTTTGTTATGAATTGCAGGGACTGGGGAAGGATGGCGGTGGAATGATTGAACCAGTTCAAGCCCAAGCCATAGATAGGAGAGCAGGACTTGGGAGTCAGCAGAAGAAGATGGATCCTAGTCTTGAGGTGCAGGCTGGGGATAGTTACAAAACACTGATTCAAAAGAAGGCTCTTGCTAGGTTCCGGGAGATGTAGATTAGGGCTTAAGCTATGAGGCTGTGGTTGTAGATAAGGGCAATAAGCTATGACGCTGAGGGTGGAAATGTGGTATTTTGGCGGGGCTAGGCAAGTGCTTTTGAGTGATTTACTGCAAACTCAAATCTCTTCTGCATTAGACAGTCTTTGTAGATTTGTAAAAATTCAATCATAGAAGCTCCGGAATTTTGTCTAAATTGTTTCCTTTTCTTCCCCAATGACCAGAGTTGCAATCCTACTACACCTGCTGTCAAAGATGCTACAATATCAAATATCAACACACCATTGTAATGACCAGGGGAAAAGCCAGTGAAATGGATGAAAATTTTTTGTGTTAAAGTTAAAAAAGAATATAGTGTGCGCTATTTCCCTTATTGAACTGACCTTTGTTAATGAATTGCTTTCAACAACAGGTTGCTATAATATGGGCATGGTTTGATAAGAGATATTGGAGGTTGTTGGATGCAATCAACCTTAAGAATTAAGGTAGTGTTTGGATAATGAAGAAAAATATACGTCTTTTTTTTTTTTGGTTGTTGTGAGGTAAAAATTTATTTCAAAATTATTACAGTTAAATCAATCAAATTTTTGTACCTTTCTATTTAAGATACTGTTTGTTTTTATTGGTTGGAAAGTTTTTTTTGCAAAAAAAAATAATTTTTCTTTATTTTAAATTAATTTTATAGGATGTTTTTAAATTATTTTGATATACTAATATGAAAAATTAAATTTTAAAAAATAATAATATAATATTATTTTAATATATTTTTAAATGAAATACATTTTAAAAAATAACCTTCAACACAATGCCTATACTACCCAAATGCAATTTAAAGGATTTTAAGACGGGCAATGTTTAAAAATATGGGTTAAATTACTTTTCTTAAAAATTTGTTTTTTTTGTTATTAAATTGTTTTAATATGTTAATATTAAAATAATTTAAAAAATAAATAAAAAATATTATTTTGATGCAATTTAAAAAAAAAATTAGTTTGAACCACAAACACTACCACATTTTTAAACACTTCCTAAATTATTTTTTTTTATTTTTGAATTATTTTGATGTACTAATATAAAAAATAATTATAAAAAAATATTATTTTAATATATTTTTAAATAAAAAAATATTTTAAACTACAACCATTACTCCATTCTGATACCCTTAAATTGGATCTTCACGGAATTTTTTTGTTTTCCCCCCTCTTATGAAATATATATGAATCTCTTCAGTCTTCAACAACTTGTCCTTCGTGGCTTAGTTTTCTAGATCAAGCAGCTATCTAGCAGTATTCACATTTCTACTTGTTTTTAAGATATATCGGTTCCAAGTCTCTCCCTTGAAGGAAAGAATTAAAAAAGGTTTTAGGGTTTGCAAAATTGAGTGCTCTTTGTCAGGCTTACAGTCTAAAACAACAAAGTATTTTCTTTTTCTCTATAAATATGTAAGCTTTTCTTCCTTCCAAGTTCCTTCTCCATGTGCTTGGTTCTTCCTCCTCAATTTCCACCATATGGTCTTGTTAATTTACTTGTATACACGACTGAATTCTAATGGTTTATGACTTCGACTACCACAGGCTTTGGTTTCCAACATTGACCTTTAAATACTACTATAAGTTGTGTGACCTTTAGTGTTACATCGAATTTTGCACAGAATTTCACTAATTTGATCTTAAATATGAAGTTTTCGGCCGAAAGTCATCGTCATTTAGGTCAAATTAGTGAAATTCTGTGGAAAATCCTACCAAAGGAATTGAGAGGGGTTTTTCCAAAATCTAAACCATTCCATGGTTAACTTGTTGCAAAAGCAAAAGAATTCCGTTTAAACTCTAGAGTCTGCCTTCACTTCTTCCTTACCAAGAGGTAGAGAATGGACAATTGGCATAACAACAAGAATGGTGGTATCAATACGAAGATTTATCTCAGAAAAAAAAAAAAAAACCAAGCAAACCGTCTACAACATGCATGGCGTTTTGCATTGTGATTTTATTAATTACAACACTAGAAGTCAACATAGATATCATCTTCAAGAAAACTCACCTACTCGTTCGATGCACCAAACGTAAAACTTACACAAGTATCAACCATTAAGTTAATTTTTTAAAAATTAACAAATTGCTTAATAAGCAAAAAAACCTTTTTTGATTAATTCCAAGTAGAAACTCATCTAGTTTGGATGATGGTTGACCATGTAATATCAGCTTAGAGTCTCTAGAACACAAGAATTTATAGCATGGAGACATGAAGCTATTTTTTTTTTTTTTTTTTTTTTTTGTCATGTAGCTATTTTTTTTTTTTTTTTTGTTTCTGTAGTATCCTAGTTATGTAGTTTTTCTCGGTTCAATATGTCTGCAGGCCATAGATTTTGGAAATTCATTTTTGTTTCTTTTTCGCCTCTTTTTGGTGTTTTAATATAATTTAGGTAAGCAAATATGCCTAACTTTCTTCATTTTCAGATGTTACCTGCATATTTAAACTAATGACCATTGAATAAATCGGCAGTTCATCAAATTAGTAACAAATGCAATTTATTGATTAGTAATCCATCCCAACTTACTGTAAATGTAATATACTGGTGCAAGTGAGCTAGCAAGTAGCTCAACTAACAATAATCGAGTGATAATGAGTTAACTAGGAAGAGATAGACATCTCTAGTTCGAATCTGACTGTTTATACCTTTTAATTCACATGTAAATATATGATCGTTGGAAACCTCAAGTTGACACACTCTATGCTGTGGTTTAGTTCTTGGAAGTGACCATTTACTTGTGAATTGTGTGAGCGTATTCACGATATCAAAAGAAGAAGAAGAAGAAGTAATACACTAATCACTATTACAAAACAACCACAAAATGTAATCACTAATTCCTGAATATATAGACCCCCACTTCGATTTCAGATTGATAACATATGATCTAAAGAGTAGAGGAGTAGCTGCGGTGGTCAAGATCTGCATGTAAATTTGAAAGAGGTAAATGAAGCCTTCCCGTCAGTTTTTGATGATGTCTAAGGGTGATAATTATACCTGTTTCTATTTATTTTATTTATTTGAATAAAGACGAGTCTGAAAGGATTCTTATCTTTATAAAAACATGTAAAAATACTCGACTTATCAAGTATGGAAGTGTCATTAATTTTATGACTCGATGATCTCATATCAGAAATAATTTATATATAAAAATAATTTATTATGTTTATAATTCCTAAATGTATACTAAATTATATCAACCTTATAAAGCAACACTAAAAGATAATTGAAATCCTTGATTTGATTACAACCGCATATTGAGATTTGTTTTTCATAGATTTGTTCTTGATTTGACTAGAACCTTGAAGATCCCTACCAAAAAAACATTGACGAATATTGAGGTTTTTTTTTTTTTTTTTTTAATGTGGATGTGGAATCCAAACCAGTTTAAACGTACCTCGAATATTGAGGTTTCTTGGTAACCGGCCTAGTGGTTATAGCTTCATTAAATGGCATAGTAATTGTCCTTGTTGTTTGGTTGAATTAATTGTTGTAGTCGAGTGGCTATAGCTTAATCAAAAAGTCGTCTTTTCACGATTTAAACGGGAAAGGTTTCGAGGAAACTCTCCTCTGAACCCACGAAATCGAGGATGATCTAAGTGAATTTTGTTAAATTAATTTAGATTAATTCTCGTTAATCTTACTTGAATTAATCTAAATAAATATAAATAGATTATATATAATTAAACTAAAAATATTATTTTATTTTTAATAAATAAAACAAAATTAAATATATTATTTAATAAAATTAATAGCAGCACTAATATCAAGATTTCATTTAATATCGTGACAATTACTATTATATTTTTAGATTTTGGACTATCCAGATTAATTTATATTTCTAAAAGTTTTAAATTTTTTTTATTTTAAATTAATAATTTTTTTAATATTTTTAAATTATTTTGATGTACTGATATTAAAAATAATTTTTTAAAAATAAAATATATATTATTTTAATATATTTTAAATAAAAAATATTTTAAAAATTAATTACAACCTACACATACTAAAAAATTACATGCTGGAAGGGCTGGCTTCTTTACTTGATTGAATTTTCAATATCAATATATGATGATTTATAATTTATATCAAAATAAGTTTTTTGTATGAAATTTAAGTTTATTACCTATTCTACTTATAATTATAATTTTTATTTTGATCATTTGACTTTTAATTCAGCCATTTTCTCAGAATTATTATTATTATTATTATTTTATAAAATAAGTGTTAATTTGAGCTCTAAATGATTTAATTGTGAAGGAAAAAAAAATTATGAATCAAATTATTTTTTTAAAAAATCTTAACTATCTCTATCCCTGTTCCTATCCCAATCCATCATAATTTGTGAAATGATAAATTTTATTTAAAGCTATAATGTTTTGGCCTCAAGCATAATCTATGTTAATATTTTGCTCAGATTGTACCACAAGTTTTTACTTATGGTAACATTCTTGGAAGATTGATAATAAAGAATTTTTCCAAGATGATGAGGATTTGCTACCTACAAATAGTTAATTCAAAAGATCGTGTTAACCGTAAAATAAGTGAAAACTATTGATAAGAAAAAAAAAAAACTAGGGACCATGTTTGCAGAGCAAAGATAGGTCAAGGACTCTAAGGCTAGAATAGAGAGTCCCAACTCTAGCAATGACATTAAATTTATTTTAAAACTCGTACATTAAACTTGAAATTTAATCATTTTAAAGCTTGTATTAATCTGTGTTGAAAAATAAAATAAACATAAAAAAATTTGGCTCACTTATAAACTTGGGATTGACCAATTGAAACTCGGTGTTAACTTTTTTATTGAATTTATTTTTGTCAAAATTATATCATTTTGATTCTATTGGAAAAAAAGAATTTTATTTTTATTTTTCATGGAATTTTAAAACTATGAAAAAATTAAAGCAATTTACATAACCACAGGGAAACATGAACAGAAGAGGGCTTCATCAATTGATGGTTCATTGTCATTAAACACGGGCCATTAAGGCCACCGCTGAACTCTCTCTCTCTTTTCTTGAATGCTACCGATGTCGTTCAAATATTTCTTTTGATAGCTTGATATTTAGAGACGCGGTTCTAATTCTATTTTTAAAAAGTTTAAAATTAATTTTTTATATTTTTTAAATTATTTTAATATATTAATTTTAAAAATAATTTTTTAAAAATAAAAAATATTTTAATATAAAAAATATTTTAAATAACAACTTCATTTATATTCTTATCTTAAACAGATATTTAGAGATTAAAAAAAAAAGATATTTTGAGAAAAAAATAAATGATCCTGTCCTCCATCGATTGCCATGGCCAACAACCTCC